CGTGATCCTGGTCTTTTTGTCAAAGTTAGAGGCAAAATGTTAGACAATCATTGGGTTCTACCAATCCTTACTTAGCTACAAAATCTGACTGCTATATTAATGTTGAAATTTGTTCACCTATCAAAGTTGTCAAATATTTATACAAATATGTTTACAAAGGCCATGACAGAATAAGTTTTTCGATAAATGCTAATGAAAAAGATATTGAATGTGACGAAATTTCTAGGTATCAAACAGCTCGTTGGATCTCTCCGCCGGAGGCAGCATGGATAGTTGTCAAATATTTATACAAATATGTGTACAAAGGATATGATCGTATTAATTTTTTAGTAAATGCGAATGGACCAAATCAAAAAATAGATGAAATTTGTTCTTACCAATTGCTAGAAGGATATCTCCACCTAAAACTATGTGGAAAATTTTTTCGTTCACTCTAGCAGAAATTTATCCCACTATTTATGTTTTACAACTTCATATTGAACATCATCAACAAATAACACATAACAATGAAGATGATTTATATACTATTATTGAGAAAGAATGTATCAAAAAAACAATGTTAACAATTTTTTTTTTCAAATGAATAAAACAAATGAGTTTGCTCGTACACTGCTGTATCGAGATTTTCCAACTCAGTTTGTTTGGAATACAAATAAGAAAATTTGGACTCCTAGAAAAAAAAATATTGTTCTTGGATGAATTGTTACATTAAATCCATTTGAAGAAAAACGATATTTTCTTCGAATTCTTTTAAATCATATTCGAAGTCCAACATCTTTTCATGATTTACGTGCTTCAAATGGAGTAACTGTTACCACATATCAAGAAGCTGCCCTTACATGGTTTATTAGGTAGTAATAATCATTGTGAATGTTTATCTGAAACCATATTTTACGAAATACCTACTTCTTTATGTCGCCTTTTTGCTACACTTCTTACGCTTTGTAACCCTAATGATCCCAAATTTCTATGGAAAAAATTCAAATTTCATATGATTGATGATTATCTACAGGAAAATACGGACTTGGAGGTTGCTGAAATACCTGCTTTGGAGGATGTCAATTCTATTTTAGAATCATTCGATAAAAACATAAATGACTATGAGTTAGTACCATTTGGTTTACATATAAATGAGAATGAAAGATTAAGAAGAAAGGTCGTAGAAGAAACATTGAATTTGAATATTGAAGAAGGGTATGTTTGTACATCAATGTTAAATAATAAATAAAAGTTTGCATATGATGCAATTATGGAGAGAATAAAATTAGGTTCAAGTGGTATTTGTTTTTATCGATCGTCCAGGTGGTATGGGCAAAACGTTTTTCTATAAAACATTATTAACAGCTGTAAGATCTCAAAATTCAATTGCTTTAGCAATTGCTTTTTCTGGAGTAGTCGTATCTCTTTTATCTGGAGGTCGAACAGATCATTCAAGATTTAAAATTCCTTTAGAAGCAATTGGGGAATTCAATTGTTCTGTTACTAAGCAATCGGCATTATGATCTTTGTTGAAAATGTCTAAGTTAATAATTTGGGATGAAGTACCAATGGTAAATTATTGTGCTGTAGAAGCTGTGGATAGAATGTTAAGAGATATTACTGATTCTGACTTACCTTTCGGTTGAAAAGTGATGGTTCTTGGAGGAGATTTTAGACAAATTTTACCGGTGGTTTCTAGAGGGGAAAAAAAAACATAATGAAAGCTACCTTAGTCTTTTCTTACCTATGACCTTTATTTGTACATTTGCCATTAGTTGAGAATATGAGAGCGAAATTTAATCTCATCTTTTGTAAATTACTTATTGAGAATTGGAAATGGAATAGAAGAAGAACATAATTGTAATTGTATTAAGCTTTCAAACGATATCATCATACCATACGAAGATGAAATTACATCTTCGAAAACTCTGATAAATTATGTCTTCCCAAATATTAAAGCATATGCTAATGATTTACATATAATGGCAAATCAAGTTATTCTTACATACTATAGCTTTGATGAAACAATTGACAAATCTTGAACAAATTCCTGGTCAAATTTTCACATACTATAGTTTTGATGAAGCAATTGAAAAATCAGAACAGTGCGTGCAAGAAGATTTCTTAAATACTTTGACATCAAATGGTGTTCCACCTCATGAATTGAACCTTAAAATCAACTATCCTGTAATGTTACTACGAAATGTCAATCCATCTGAAGGGCTGTGCAATGGAACATGTCTTACTTGTCGAAAATTTGAGAAAAATATAATTCTTGCTAAAATTGCAGCTGGTGAATACTATGGAAAACATATTTTTTTACCAAGAATCCCATTCATACATCTACAAAGTGATCAAACATCAATTCCATTCAGAAGAACTCAATTTCCTATGAAACCGTGTTTTGCAATGACAATAAATAAAGTACAAAGACAAACACTTGATTTTGTTGGCTTATATCTTTGAGAACCAGTATTTTGTCATTATCAACTTTATATAACATTATCAAGATCTAAGACAAGCAAGACTAAAAGTTTTACTTAAGCCCTCAGCTAATGAAAGTTCACACTTGACATGTACTAACAACGTTGTATATAGAGAAATTCTTTCAGTCACCGTTTGACACATTATTTCAAAACTCATTTTCAACCATACAGTTTTTAATAAAATAATATTTTCCATCACATTAATAATTTTTCCTTCCTTTTTAACCACATATTTCCTATCATATCACTATTTAAAATATATTCTTTTCTCAATAATATCTATCAAACACACTCTCTTTCATACATTCATAAAAATATATTGTATTCACAAACAATTCAAATTTGTTTTTTATGTTCCAAACTAAGGTGACTTTCATCAATGTAGCAAACATTAATCACACAGTAAAGGTATGCTTTCTATTAATTGCATTTACTCTATTTTTCTTTTTATAACACAACCTAACTTTATTTTCATTATAAATTTTGTTTAGTTCAGTACTGAAATTATTTAATTACATTGGTAATAAATACAAAATAGTTTACTACCATATAATATTCACCTATATTTTGTAAAGTTTATGTATCACGTGTCCTAAAAATGTTATAATATATATTTTAAATTTCAAATTGTAACTATGTCAATATTCTCTACGTAACTAACTTTGACTACTATATGCCTCCATAATCATCCAAAAAATTAGTAAATATTGTATTTATCTACTGAAGCTTTATTTTTGAGTTGTCTTTTAAATTTACACACACAGCTCTTAGTTATTGTTATTATTATATTGATTAGATAATTTGACTTTCTAATTACCACAGGCTTGATGAGATGGAAGTTAAAATTCTTCTTTTCGAGAATGAGAAGAAAAATTTTGATGCAGTAAATAAAGGTGATGTTGTGGTATTGCCTGCTTTTGGAGCTGCTGTAGATGGAATGTTAGTTTTGAATGACAAGAATGTGCCAAATAGTTTGTACAACTTGCCCATGTTCGACATGCTCCTAAGGTATTTTTCCACTTCGACATGTTCTAAAACCAATTATAGGACTCATGTAATCATATCCAGGCTTTACACCCCTTTCTGACCATTTACGTTTATTTTCCTATAATTTTTTCATGAAGGTTTGGAATATCGTTGAAAAGCACAAGGGAAAGTACACTACAATTATTCATGGCAAATATTCTCATGAAGAGATTGTAACAACAGTTTCATCTGTAGGGAAGTATATCATTGTAAAGAACATGACACAAGTATGTTTGACTTGCTGCTGCTGCTATTTTTTTTTTTTTTTCTCCTTTTCTTCATGCTGAATAATTAATGAGCATCTATTGTTGGAAGTATTGGTGAAGGTTTTCCTTTTGAACGGTTGTTTTCATATACACATGAGAAAAGTCTATTTGTGTTTTAAATACCTGCACAAATTGAATACAACTTGTATTATTTGTCGTAATCCACATGTAGAAATATTTAGTGTTTTGGAATCATATATTTTAATATATCTCTTTTCATGCTCAATAAGGGAAGTTCATCTGTGTACTCATAGCAAACATTCAATTGTGGATGTAATTCTCAAAAACTCAATACATTTAACGTACTAACGTTACCTTTGAAATAACCCAGCCCGTGCATTGCACGGGCGAAGACTAGTTAAACTATAAGTGTCTAAACTGAACATGTTTGACAAAAATGGTTATATGTTTCGGTTTTGTTAGTGGTACATCACCATATACATAGGAGTGTATACCCTACAAGTGGATCTCACCCCCATGCGAGGGGGTGTACAACTTTATGTATACTTTTTGATGTACAAGTAGAATTATTCTATATCGTTTAAATATACATTTTGTAAGAACTAAACTTACTATTTACTTATTATAAGAATGATCTACTACGATGAAGTTCAATGTCACGTCAACATTCAAGCCATATTTTTTGGACTTTCCAACATAAAAATGTTTGACCCAATGGGCAAGATAAGTCATATCCATGATGAATATGATAAATTTTGCCAACCGCTAGCATGGCAATGCCAAGTCAATGATCAAACCATCTTTTTTTGACTTTTCAACATAAAAAATGTTTGACCCATTGATATGGCGTTGCCACCTCAACTGGCGAGGCAATCAATCTTGTTACTCATTATTAAAATTATTCTCATGTCCATAGTGGGTATGATAAAATTGCTTAATAATGTGGCAGAAGGACTTTAACTTACGGTAAGTAAAGTTCTCTCTAAGTGACTAAAACGAGGTTTGTCACAATGAGTAGGAGACCAATTTTGTACTTATTATTCATGATGGAATTTGTTCCTAAGTGAGTTTTTAATTTCCAACTAAAATTAGTTGGATTCCTTGCCCTATGGGACCCCATAATTAAAATGTTCAAATCAAATTCTGCCTTCCCAGAACGTTATCACGTTAATCAGCCTATGCCAGTCCTACCCGCCATATGGCTCTTTCTGCACCACCACTCGCCGCCGCATCCTCCAATCTCCTCCACTTCCATCCGGCGTCCTCCGACCCTCCCTACAAACTACTCCAAAACCACCCCTCTCTTACTCTCCTCTCCAAATGCAAAAGCATAAAGAAACTCAAACAAATCCACTGTCAAGTCATCAAATTTGGACTCCACAACACACTGTTTGCACTCAGCAAACTTATCGAGTTTTGCGCCGTTAGCCCATCTGGTGACCTCTCTTATGCTGTATCGGTCTTCAATTCGATTGAGAATCCTAATCACATTATATATAACTTGATGATTCGTGGATACTCGTTAAGCTCGTCGCCTAGGTCCGCTCTAATTTATTACATAGAAATGCTTATTTTGGGTCTTCAACCAAATTCCTATACATTTCCGTTTGTTTTTAAATCTTGTGTAAAGCTAATGGCTTTAAATATGGGAAAACAATTTCATGCCCATGTATTGAAACTTGGACTTGAATGTGATGTGTTTGTACATACTTCACTTATCAACATGTATGCTCAGAATGGGGATTTAGATTATGCACGGATGGTGTTTGATAAAGGGGATTTTAGAGATGCAGTGTCTTGTACAGCGTTGATTGCTGGGTACATTGCTAAGGGCCACATGGATATTGCTCGTAATATGTTTGATACAATTCCCGTAAGAGATGTTGTATCGTGGAATGCTATGATATCAGGGTATGCTCAAATTGGCCAGTTTGACGAGGCTCTGATCTTATTTCAAGAAATGAGGAAAGCAAAAGCTAGGCCCGATGTGAGCACATTGTTGAGTGTTCTTTCTGTATGTGCTCACTTGGGCGCACTTGAAATAGGAAACTCGGTTAGATCTTGGATTGAAGATCATGTTCATGATTCAAATCTTCGCATTGTTAATGCCCTGATTGATATGTATGCAAAATGTGGTGATCTTGATACGGCGTGGACTTTGTTTGAGAGTTTACAAGAAAAAGATATTGTCTCATGGAATGTTATGATAGGTGGTTACACGCACATGAGCAGTTATAAAAAGGCCTTGGAAGTTTTTCGTCAAATGCAGCTAGAAAATGTAGAGCCTAATGATGTTACTTTCTTAAATGTTATTCCAGCCTGTGCGCACTTGGGTGCTCTTGATCTTGGTAAATGGATACATGTTTATATCGATAAGCATTATCAGGACTTCACCAATGTCTCTCTATGGACGAGTCTCATTAATATGTATGCAAAATGTGGAAGCATTGAAGCTGCCAAACAAATCTTTTATGGCATGGAAACAAAAAGTTTGGCATCTTGGAATGTTATGATATCTGGGTTAGCGATGCATGGAGATGCACATAAGGCAATTGAGCTTTTCTCTGAAATGTGCAAAGAAGGATTCCGACCGGACGAGATTACCTTTGTTAGCGTTTTGTCAGCTTGTTGCCATGCTGGTTTGGTTGATCTTGGTCGTCAGTATTTTAATTCCATGATCCAAGATTATAATTTTGCCCCCAAATTGCAGCACTATGGATGTATGATTGATCTACTCGGCCGAGCAAAATTGTTTGATGAAGCAATGGCCCTCATAGAAAGAATGGATATGGAGCCAGATGGTGCTATATGGGGTTCTCTGCTCGGGGCTTGTAGAATCCATAATAATCTTGAGCTGGGTGAATATGCTGCCAAAAATCTTTTTAAATTGGAACCTAATAACCCTGGAGCTTATGTACTTTTGTCAAACTTATATGCTGGCGCGGGTAGATGGGATGATGTAGCAAAAATAAGAACATTTTTAAATGACAAGGGAATGAGCAAAGTTCCTGGTTGCACCTCCATTGAGGTTGATAGTGTAGTCCATGAGTTTCTTGTCAGCGACCGAACACATCCACAGAGAACTGAAATCTATAACATGCTTGATGAAGTAGATAGGCTTTTAGAAATGGCTGGGCATATACCCGACACATCCGAGGTGCATTATGACATGGATGAGGAGTGGAAGGAAGGTGTGCTATGTCAACACAGCGAGAAATTGGCGATTGCTTTTGGTTTGATCAGTACAAAACCTGGGACGACCCTAAGGATTTTTAAGAATCTTCGTGTATGTGGTAATTGCCATTCAGCTACAAAGCTAATATCAAAGATCTTCAATAGGGAGATTATGGCTAGAGATCGCAACCGGTTTCACCATTTTAAGAATGGTAATTGTTCATGCATGGACTACTGGTAAAGCATTACAGCTTGAATAGAAGCAATTTGTGAATGTTATTTTGTACATCTGTAGATACACAAATGAATCAATTGAAATCTTTGTTCTTATAATTTGATGACTGATGACCAAAAGAAAATTCTAGTCCAATGCAAAACTTTACATTACTAATATACCTTTCTGATCTGATCTTAGTATGAGAACCTACCGGCCTGAGAGTGTCGACATTGTAACCGAGTAACTCGACGTGGAAGGAATGTCACTATTCATTTGGTAATTTTCCACTATACCAAATCTAGGCCTGGGAGTACAACCAGGATCAGCTGCCTCTTCACCAATTGTTAACAAATCAACAATAAGCATTTGTGTGTTGGGCGGGTCTTCAACCGGTACACGCCCCTCGAGCATTTCAACAACCATAGCCATGCTTGGCCTAAGCTTGGCCTTCTCTTGTATGCACCATAAAGCTGCACAAACCAGTCTCTTTAATTGCCTCTCATTAACCCCTCCATCTTCAACCAACCTTGGATCAACAATTTCCATAAGTTTCCCATCTTTAAATTTGTCACTCACAATCTTTGGGAAGTATTGAAACTTTTTTTTCGACTCACCATTGCCATTTTCGAGAACACGGACGTTTCTTCGTCCACCAATAATCTCTAACAGCACCATTCCATAACTGTACACATCACATTTCTCAGAAACTCCATTCTCCAGGAGCCATTCAGGAGCCAAGTAACCTCTAGTCCCCCGGATCGTTGTCACAACTCGACTCTCGTCTCTTCCTTTTATTTTCGAGAGCCCGAAATCTGACACGAGTGCACGATAATCATGGTCGAGAAGTATATTTTCCGGCTTCACATCTAGATGCAGTATACAAGATCGACAATCGTGGTGCAAGTAAGAAAGCGCTCTCGCTACATCAAGAGCAACTCTACATCTCGAATCCCATGTCAAACAACCACTACGTTGACCACCCCTTTCCCCCTTGGGGAAAATCCAATTATCCAACGAGCCGTTATGAATGAACTCGTAAACAATGAAACGAGGACCAGTCGACTGGACACAATACCCGAGAAGGCGTACGAGGTTTACGTGTTGCACGCTAGCAATAGCTGCAACTTCTGATTTGAATTCCTTCTCTCCTCGATCATCCCCTTCGATCCTTTTTACTGCAACTGCCGTCCCATCACTGAGTATCCCTTTAAAGACTGAAGCCGACGACCCACGTCCTACCATAGATCGAAAGCCATCCGTGGCTACTTCCAAGTCCCGATACCGGAACTTTGTCGGAACTCCAGCAACTTTCCTCAGAAAACTGTACTCGATTCGAAGCTCTCGGCCTTCTGAATCGAACCGTTGTTCGAGTTGTTTTCGTCGAGCAGTAAAACGAACCCGGATCGCTATAACTGCAAAAACTGCTAGAATTGCTGCAATATCAGCTCCACATATCAGAAAAAATGTCTTGGAAAGTTTCAGAGATAAACGAGCAATGATAATGACAATTATGAGTACAATTACTATGGAAAATGCAATCAAATTTGCTTTTTTGTCTTCCATCAATTTTGCATTGCTGCTTTCAAGTATAAACTAAAATTTCTTCTTCTGATTTTCATGTTTGTTGGTAACTGAAATAAATTTTAAAAAATCACACACTTGTAATAAATTTCTCTTGCTTATTTTCTAGGAAGAAGAGGTACATTGATCATGGAATATTTTATTTATCTGAGATGCAATGTAGACGATATAGAAATGAAGAATGTTCATATTGGCCAAATAGATTGACTATACACTAAAGACCATTTCCTTTTGTGTACTTTTCTTCCCCATAAACTGACAAAGTCAAAGGATGTTCACCAATAAATCTTAATTAAACAGGTTCAGGAAAAAAATGAAATTAAATATTATTTCTACCTTTTTTTACCCTTATCCATATTCATCGAATTGACTTTTTGAAATCGTAATTTTATGGAAGCTTCTTATTGTGAGAGTAATTAATATTAAGAGCTTGTTTGGTAGCCATTTCTCAACCCAAAAAATTATTTTTTTTACTGTTAAACATGAAAAAGGGCAACCATTTTTGACTTGCTGTCTCACAGATGGGACCCGCCTGTTATAGTTAACGGTCATTTTTTTGCTGAAAATCGCTCCCAAACAGGGGCAAAGAGCGAGTCTCGTTTTTTTCCTTTAAGAATGTATTTTGAAATAGTAGATTGATGGAAATTGTGTGATTAAAAAATAAAAAAAAATTTTAAATTTACGTATAATAATTTATTGAAGAATACGTAACTAAAATGAAGATTTGAAAAGAATGGTCCAAAATATAATTGTATTACATTAATGAAAGTGACTCAAAAGTCAAGCATTCACTTTTTGAATAGGCATAAAAATAATCGCCTGCAAAATTGGACAAATCAATTTATTGTTTTTGGGAATATTGTATATCAAGTCAACTTGTGTAATTTTATGTGTATGTATATATGTACACCGAGAATGTTCTCCTGCCCAAGGTGGGTAGTCTGTTGATGTGGCAGGAGAACCCTACGTGGGGATCTCTCCAAATGTGAGAACCCTACATTGGGTTCTCTCCGCGTGGGCCGGATAAGATTGCCCGTCGCGGGCAGGGGATTAATCAAATTTAATAGTGTGGAATACTACACCTTATCTTATGCATTTTCAATTTCACGAAAATGTTCTCCTGCCCTCGGCGGGCAAGCTGATCCTGCCCACCTGCTGATGTGGCAGGAGAACCTCACGTTGGGTTCTCTCCGAGTGGGCAGGATAAGATTGTCCACCGTGGACAGGAGAACAGCTCTGATATACACACATAAGTTATACACAAAACCCTAATGAAGATTGTGCCATTAGAAATCCATGAACTTGCCAAATAGCTGATTTTTGTGGTTGTCGCCGAAGGACCGATTGGAGAGAACATTTGAGATAAAACATTCATTAAAGATTTTGCGAATAAGCTACTTTTTTCACTTTTAATGTACGTTCACTTTTGGATCAAGATATCAAGTGATAAGAGAAGCCTTATCGAGTCATTTACTTAGTTTCAAGTCTCCTCAGGGGACGATGAGAATATATATGCTCGCTCCTCATTCCACTCCCGTGGCAGAAGCGGGATTTTGGAAAACAAGACCATAATATAATAATATTACAATTCTTACATTTTAATTATTATATTTTTTGCAATTTTTTCGCTGAATTTTCATACTTTGAAATTGCTATATTGTAGCCCTGTTATTAATCTATCTTCAAGAGTAAGCCTACTTGGAAAAAGAGCAAAAGAATGGAATGGAATATGTATGGCAGTTTAATAGCAATTTTAGCTCTGGGCAACTTTCAAAAATCATATGAAAAGTATTTTGGAAGTAAAAAAAAATCTTGTTTAAAATAGTCACATTTAAAAAAATGACATATTGTCACTTTTTAAAAGTTAAGCGTCGTTTTTTTTTTTTATAAAAAGTAACATACAATGTCATTTTTATTAAAAAAGTGATATTTGACACTCATAAAAGTGACAAAAAATTCAAGTGATTGAAAAAAAAAAAGTAAAAATATTTTGTAAAATTAAGTAACACAATTTTACGTTTTTATTAAAAAAAGGTAACAAAATGTCGATTTTTAAAGTTAAGCATTGCTCTTTTTTAATTAAAAAAATAACATACAATGTCACTTTTTATTAAGAAAGTGATGTTTATTACTCAAAAAGTAACAGAAAATTAAAAACGTGACATATAAAAAAAAGTGACAGAAATTTAGAAAAATAACAAACACTAAAAAAAAAGTGATAAAAATTCGAAAAAACTACAAACGCACAAAAAAGTGATATATGCCAATTTTTTTAAAGTCCAAGACAAAAATCTAATATCCTTGTACACAATTTTTCATATTAAAGCATTCATTTCATACTAAAAAAAATCAATTACCAACCAACTTAATACAACGAAGTTATGTACACTCATAAAACATCGACTATCAACATTTGGAATGCAGCCAAAATTTCATTAATAACCTAAAAACTAAAAATGCAAAATGTCATAATTTAAACACCATCATTGTTTGCTTGTTATTCATGTATATTCATCTATCATTGCCTCTTCAAATACATCATCTCTACCTCATCGTATATCACGAATCCCTTTCCTTTGACACCCATTAATTGTCTATATTATAAATCATATCTTGCTTCTTCTTGGCATAGTTATACAATGGAGGACTCAATTTTCGTCTAATTTGTAGAATGTTAAATGTCTTTGGCATTTGATTTAATTTATTGATGAAGTATTGTACCTTCATCTCATTGAACATGCTAAAATTCTTGTACCTTTGAACGAAGTTTTCATTATTCTTGAACTTGTTAAGATTAAGAAAGTGAAGTAAACCCTACAATTTTTTTAGAGAGAAACTAACAGAATCATGCTACATGTACATCGTTTTTTACATTATGTAACGTGACAACACGTTATTGGACATTTTAAAAAAAAAAACAAAATTTTCACCAACAAAATCATGCCAACTTGAATGATGCATGTGCCACCAGCAGGCTACATATAGATAAACATATGGATAGAAAACTTCCACATCAGTTCATTAATATGCAATAATTACAAAATGGTCCACAAAATAAAGGCAAGTTGACTCCCGTGAACTCCCCATCTCCCAACAGTGAGAGGTGATCTTGGAAGGGGAGGGCTTTGAATCGAAGGCTAAGTGCATTAATCAAACCTAATTTGCCCTTTAGCTTTTGTCAAAGTTGTACAGATGCCAAATAATTAAATTCAATAATATACCCAAATTAAATACGCCAAAATTATAATTAAGCGATTTATACGATTATAAATTCAGCAATCTATTCGAGTTAAAGATGCTCAAAATTTATTTAAATAATTTATACGATATATATTTTATAATTTATTCAAATTAAACATATTCAAATTTTAATTAAATAATTTACACCAAATTAAAAGTCAAATTAAACGTGCTCAATTAACAAAATTACACCAAAAAAAAAAAAAAAGGTGATCTTTCGGCAATATACTAACCCCGCTTTATCCAATTAATTCGTACAAAATTCATCTACATTTTCTTATACCTAACTTCAAATTGTTTCATATTCACATCTCCAATTTTTTTCTTCGCATTCTAACATTCATCGTCAACGACAATATATGCTAATTAATATATGTGGGCTTATTGGGCTTGGTAAGTGGTTCTCTTTAACACTTTAATGGGCCGGGTTTCTATTATAACCGTTGGATGAAGATCTACGGTTGAGATCAAAGTGGTTGAGATATTTTTTCTTTGACTTTGACCTATATCACGTGGGTTCGGCTTCCTCGAGACACAACCCTTTTTTTTTTCTTCTTCGATCTCCAGCCTGCTCTCTGGGTTCTTCCCATTTACTGTCCCTGTAAATCGACCATTTAGTCCATAAACTGATGAAATTCCTGGTGTGCACTTAAACCTGAAACAGTGGTTAAGAGGTTGGGTTTCTCTTGGGCTTTGGGTCAGATTTTAGGGCGTTCTTCTCGGCTGATTTGGTAGACCGTTCGGTCGATGACCCAAGCCAAGTGTTGGGTGTTTCGTGGTTGGTTCTAATCTCTCTCTGGAGGGTGTTTTTGCGGTGCATGGTGACTGTTCTTGAGCCTACATTTCAGCCGAAATAGGAGGTGGAAACTGAGCATCCATGGCGTTCTCCGGCCGGTAGAAAGGGGAGTATTATTCTGACTTTACCTCCATTCATTTAAAGCTCTGTTGTTGTTCAGTTATGAGGTTCCAGTTTCGATTTATGGTTGATATGCTAATCTTGATATTGGAGCATATTGTAATCTGATCATATATGAATGTTGAACTTTAGAAAGTATTCTGTCTATGATTTCTTTAAGCATTGATATATGTTGATTACATACTGTTGAATATGATTACTGGAGCATGCTGAAAACTGGGGAATTATATTCTGTCCATGATTTGATTAAGGCTGAATTGGGGATTACATTCTGCTGTGAATAGCCAATTGAACTCTGTCATTGGTTTTAAGAGCTGCTAGAACTATATTATGCTTTGTATTGATTCCACATTTATGCTGTTTTATTCCCAACAATATAATGTTATGATAGGAATACGATGAAAAAGAAAAATAAAAATAAAAAGTTAGGGATATAAGTGTAATGGAAAGTAAGAGCCTGTTTGGAGGAAATTTTATTGTCATTTTTAGAAGAAATTTGTCCGTTGCACAATTACTCACTCCCCAATTCAAATTTCTCTGACAGAACCCATATTACAGCATGATTTTGATGGATCCTGCTTTTTCAATTACACCAACCACTTGACAAAATTACCAGAGAATCTTACAATTTTGAGAATTGAGGGTGAAAACGTAAATGAGGGAGATAGAATCTTACAATTTCTTTTTTGCAATCGACTTTGTCAGAATTTTGGAAAATGGGTACAAGCCTTGCATTGCAACGGCCATATTATTGATGAAAATGAAACTAAAAAATTCTCTCAAACAGGATCTAAATGTTATATATATGTTTAAATCAATTAAAATGTGGGTCGGTTATAATTTTTTTAATGAGAATACAATTACCTTTTTGCCAATAGGCTTGCAAAGTGTACATATTTCAAAGGGTAATTATATGCACACATGTTTTATTTGAACCACATTTAATTGCTCTCGAGGTCTATAATCTTTGCGCCCATTGTAGTATTTATATCTCTAACTTTTTTCTTCACACTTTTATTATCAATATTTTATTTTAGCACTTTTTGTCTATGATAATATTTTTTATCCAATCACTCTATTCAGAGGACATAAAACAAGTCATTTTCCCATCATATTTTTTTCAAAAAAAAAAACATTATAGATACAAGTGTAATAAAATATTCTTCCAACCACCGAAAGCAACTAAATATTTTGACAGAAATCGTCATTGAGAAATATAAATGTAACAATGAGAAAACATCGATGACCTTAAGTGCAATTAAAAATGCGACACAACAAATAGAAAGTGTGGTTCCAATATAATAATCACTCACCAAAATTATTTACAATGTCTAGCTCAAATGATAAGAGAGAAATCGGTCTTATAAATCATTGACAAACTAACCATTTAATATAATTTTTACCTTATGCCATCCATTTCGACTTTGATTCACCAATAATTAAAGTTTGGGGATTTGAATGCGATGAAAATTTGATTGGGGAACTAATCTTTTGATATGGAATAGTTTAGGAACCGAAGGTGATATTTTGTGATTAACAAAAATATAAGTTTAGTAATCAAATTGAAATGAATTAAAGTTAAGTGTCCAACATAAAATAAATCTATAAATTAAGGGAGCTTCAAAGAAATACCTCGCCTGCGTGCACTTTCCATTTCCCTCTGCGCTAGAATTCGAGTTCTCTCTTAGCAGTGCACCGTTCAAAACACAACCCAGCTTTGGTTGGTGGTGTAGGAGATTTTACATCAATAATGTGCATATTATATTAATTATTCTGTCCATGATTTGATTAAGGCTAAATTGGGGATTACATTCTGCTGTGAATAGCCAATTGCACTCTGTCATTGGTTTTAAGAGCTGCTAGGACTATATTATGCTTTGTATTGATTCCGCATTTATGCTGTTTTATTCCCAACAATATAATGTTATGATAGGAATACGATGAAAAAGAAAAAGAAAAAGAAAAAGTTAGGGATATAAGTGTAATGGAAAGTAAGAGCCTGTTTGGAGGAAATTTTATTGTCATTTTTAGAAGAAATTTGTCCGTTGCACATTTACTCACTCCCCAATTCAAATTTCTCTGACAGAACCCATATTGCAGCATGATTTTGATGGATCCTGCCTTTTCAATTACACCAACCACTTCACAAAATTACCAGAGAATCTTACAATTTTGAGAATTGAGGGTGAAAACGTAAATTAGGGAGATAGAATCTTACAATTTCTTTTTTGCAATTGACTGTGTCAGAATTTTGGAAAATGAGTACAAGCCTTGCATTGCAACGGCCATATTATTGATAAAAATGAAACTAAAAAATTCTCTCAAACAGGATCTAAATGTTATATATATGTTTAAATCAATTAAAATGTGACTCGGTTATAATTTTTTTAATGAGAATACAATTACTTTTTGCCAATAGGCTTGCAAAGTGTACATATTTCAAAGGGTAATTATATGCACACATGTTTTATTTGAAACACATTTAATTGCTCTCGAGGTCTATAATCTTTGCACCCATTGTAGTATTTATATCTCTAACTTTTTTCTTCACACTTTTATTGTCAATATTTTACTTTAGCACTTTTTGTCTATGATAATATTTTTTATCCAATCACTCTATTCAGAGGACATAAAACAAGTCATTTTCCCATCATATTTTTTTCAAAAAATAAATAAATTATAGATACAAGTGTAGTAAAATATTCTTCCAACCACCGAAATATTTTGACAGAAATCGTCATTGAGAAATATAAATGTAACAATGAGAAAACATCGATGACCTTAAGTGCAATTAAAAATGCGACACAACAAATAGAAAGTGTGGTTCCAATATAATAATCATTCACCAAAATTTTTTACAATGTCTAGCTCAAATGATAAGAGAGAAATCGGTCTTATAAATCATTGACAAACTAACCATTTAACATAATTTTTACCTTATGCCATCCATTTCGACTTTGATTCACCAATAATTAAAGTTTGGGGATTTGAATGTGATGAAAATTTGATTGGGGAACTAATCTTTTGATATGGAATGGTTTAGGAACCGAGGGTGATATTTTGTGATTAACAAAAATATAAGTTTAGTAATCAAATTGAAATGAATTAAAGTTAAGTGTCCAACAAAAAATAAATCTATAAATTAAGGGAGCTTCAAATACCTCGCCTGCGTGCACTTTCCATTTCCCTCTGCGCTAGGATTCGAGTTCTCTCTTAGCAGTGCACCGTTCAAAACACAACCCAGCTTCGGTTGGTGGTATAGGAGATTTTACATCGATAATGTGCATATTATATTAATCAAAAACATACCGTGAAATCGAAATATCATTCGATTTACCGAAATATGATTTGCGAAAACAAAATATTGATTATCGACATCCAATATATGAATATGGATTCATCACTTTCCAATATTGAACGAGTGTCATTCTTTAATTCAAACATTGCATGAAATCAAAAGAATATTAGTTACTTTCCGAAATCAAAATACTAAATTAGAATGAAATCGGAAAAGAAAGATGAGATGCAAGTGATGCGATCGGTCGAAATAAGTGTTTGACACTTTGTCCTTAAAATGAATTTGCCTCGCATCGGTGTTAACTGTTTTCCCGCAATCATCTCCCAAAATACAATGACCACATCAAGCCATATGAGCACTCCAAATGACTTAAATCAACGAACTCGAACAGAGTTCCCTATTTACCATAACCATGATTTTGATATAAGAAATAATCACTTCTATAAAGTGTTTTATGCAAAATTAAATTGTAAACATGGAATGAAATGATATGAAACTTTCAATTGAATTGTTTGTTGTTTTTCATAAAATTCAAACACATGGGAATCTATATATATAGTAGTTGAAAATCACACCAAAATACATCTCTTGAAATTTAGAATCGTAATTATTGAAAATTACTCACACCAAAGTCATGATCTCCAAAAATCATGATGTTCCATAGTCATGATCTCCAAAAATCATGATGTTCCATATTACTCATTCTATAAAATATTTCATAATATTTTATACAATTTCCAACAATTTCAAACATTTATACATTTTAAGTTTGGTTTAATTTCTCCTACAGAAAATTCCACTTAAATTTGTCCCAACCAATTTCGAATTTTCCAACAGGTGGTGACTCGCTGAGCTGACATGGGCAGCAGAACCGTGAACGGTGGCGCTACCTCCGCCGCCGACGTGGACAAGGGTGTTGATTTCCCTAACTATTTCTGCACATACGGTTTCCTGTACCACCAGAAGGAGATGCTTTCTGACCGCGTTCGTATGGACGCTTACTACAATGCCGTGTTCGAGAACAAGCACCACTTCGAAGGAAAGGTACAAACTTTTCTTCTATTTATACAATGATTGTTATTTATTTACATGCACTGTGTATACATGGAATTTTATCTTTTTATTTGCTTGGAATTTTGTTCCCGACGTTTTAGTGGATTTATTGTTAAAGGAGGTGATTTCTAAATTAGATTTTTTCCGCGGTTACAAACTTACAATTAATTTGGCTTATGTTCTGCAAGGCTGGCTGAGGTGAATGCATTTCTCAATTTTTGATGAGGCTTAAAACATCTTAATTTGCTCCTAACTTTTTAAACTAAGGTGTAAGAGTTACTTATTCAAACGTTCTCTAGATCTCTCTATTCTATATTTTTTGAAAACTTGTTAGCAAATAGTCATGATTTTATGATACCCAGGATATTTGCACTAACAGGGACGCACATTGTACATATACTTGAAACATTTAATTGTCGGCACATTGGTTAAATGTGTGCGCTTTAGTCTTTGAAATAGATTTTTGACTTAGAGTAGGACTAAGTTGGTGAATACATGGAGTAGGCTGTTTTGGATGTAGGAACAGGAAGTGGTATTCTAGCTATATGGTCTGCACAGGCAGGTGCAAGGAAAGTTTATGCAATGGAAGCCACCAAGATGGCAGAACATGCCCGTGAACTAGTTAAAGCAAATAGTCTTCAGGATGTTGTTGAAGTTATTGAGGGGTCGATGGAAGATGTTACTTTGCCTGAAAAAGGTTAGCCTTTTCATTGCTATAGCTATAATCAATCTCAGCATCTTCTTCCTTGTAATCAACTTTAGTTTTTGGAGTGTAATTGTTTGTCCATTTACTCTTTAACCTAAGGATACGTTCCGTGGGCAGTTGATGTAATGATTTCAGAGTGGATGGGGCACTTTCTTCTACGTGAATCAATGTTTGACTCTGTAATTTGTGCTTGTGAGCACTGGCTGAAGCCAAGTGGGGTCATGTGAGTACTTTATACATAGAGATAGACATTAAATTCTGTTTTCTCCCAATTTTAATTTATCACCATACTTCCTGCCTTTTGACATTCTTATATGTCTAGGAATTTGAGTTATACAATGTAGGGAAAATATAATGTTTGCTTGATGAACTTATAACCCAAAATTTCCATCCTTTTTTTTTTTGGGGATTTCAAATTTTAAGCTTATCCTATAATTTGTTTATTCATTTCCTTGGAATTGCAACGTGTATCTTTAATTGTCCCTTTCTAACGTTTTTTTTTTTTTGGCTTAGTTTTTGTAAATTTTCATTGAAGGTAAAGATTTGATGCCACTCTAACTCACATTTAAGCTAACACTTCTAAAGAGGCGTGAATGTTCTTTGGGCACATGGGACTCACTGGGAAATGAAAGATAAAAGTCACAAAGCTTGAACTACATATGGTGAATTTGCAATTGAAAGGGTTAGTAGATGAGTAATGTTGGACCAAAATAAAATAGTAAAATATGTTTCATTTCAAGGCTGTTTCTATCTTTATTTTATCTAAGGACTCGAGAATACTATTTCGCCATTATGCTGTTCTAAAGGATACCTTTAATTTTATTGAAGTGGTATATATTGAATTATGTTGACTCTCATGCCTCCCATCAGGTAGGTAAAACGCCTCTATGCCTACTATAACATTTTAAAAGTTGATTCTTATAGTCATATTGTAAGTATCTTGTCGTTATGATTTTAGCTTTTAGGTTATAATTTGTCGAGAACTACTATTCTCTGGAAAGAGGAAACACAAATATGGAGATTGTTGCTGTGTATCCAAGGCACCCGTGCGTGAAAGGAGCTAGTATAAGTGAAGGTGCTGAAGCTGAGCATATGAGGATACAAAATGAAGTACAATCTGCTATTGAAGTAAGGAATTAGAATTACGAAGAAGCTGCAGTCAAAATGGGCGTTTCAAAGATTTTTTAGAAGGTGATCAAGTGATCATCTGAGAAAGAAAAGTTTTCATTGGTTCTTATCACTTACGGAAGATTGTCCTCGTGAATTCTGAAAAAATCAATTCAAATACCGATGTGGATGAGTTACCTAATGGCCAACTGTATAGAACCTTTTTACATGTTTTTAATCTGTTTGATTTTCATGATATGGATGTGAGAAATTGAACAGCAATCAGATAAAGAGTGGAACAACGGATGCTCTAGTATTATGATTTATGTACATGTCAATATACATTCAAACAGCAATTTTATGCTGACTATAAGTTTCCATGAAATGCGCAGGATAAGAACTTGTTGATTTAGATTTAAAGCCATGACAAATTTAATCTCTCATTCAGCTTGAATCCACTAACACGGTTTCACTAATTTGGTTTGGTCCTAGCTTTTCAGGTTCATCTCAAGTTCTGTACTAACAAATATAACCAGCCTTTGTCCCTTTTTTTCTGTCAAATTTTAATTAGAGAGGCTCGGTTTTTCAGGTATCCAAGCCATGCTCGAATGTGGGTGGCACCCATCAGGTCTGGATTGGTGGACCAAAAAAATGAGAGATTATGAAGATGCCATAAATGATTGGCATGGTTTTGTTAATGAGACTGAATCTTATTATGGCGTTGACATGAGGATTCTGACAAAGCCATTTGCTGAAGAACAGAGAAAATACTATTTGAAGGTTGGCATTTAGGTTGTTATGCCTAATGTTTGATTATTTTGGAGACATTATGTACAGATTCTGGGATTTTACTAGCTCTGATTTTTTGCGTAAGATAAACTATCATTCTCTTCCAAACACACGCGCACACACACACACATATATATTGGAGCTATGCATTTAAACTTTTAGAATGTGTAATGGCGGCATTTTCCACCTGTTTGAGTAGGAAATATTATTGAATAACCTCCTTCCCCACTGTCTTTCTCAATTCTTCTGCCCCCTCATTGAATTGTGTTGATAGAAAAGACTTGACAGCGTTTCTCCTGTGTAAGGAGTTACCTATTTGCTTCCTTCTTTGGGTGATCTTTTGTCTAGTTATTTTTGTAAGCATTTGACAAAGAGGTCTCCTATTTATTTTACTCTTGCCTGTTGTTATAGATGATTCTTCTATGTGTGCATGGACCATATGGATTTTTTTGGAGTTTTTGAGATTATGTTCGATAACACGCCATACATATAATGGTACACACCTTCATCCTTTGTGGTTTTAAATATGCATTATGTGATAATTTATATTTACATTTTTTTAAAAATCCATATTCAAATCTTTACCTGTATTTCTCTTTGGTTGCGATAATTGCTTTTTCATGTCTCCCTGTACAGCTAAAAATTTACACAATGTAGACATCACCGTGGAACAATCTTCATCCAAATCAAGTTATAGGGACACCTGTGGTTATTAAGGAGATAGATTGTTCGACAGCTACCATAAACGATATACTTACTGTCTGTGCAAGCATTTCATCTTCTATCACGGCAGAAAATACAAGACTCTGCGGATTTGCTGGATGGTTTGATGTTCATTTTCGAGTGAGGATGCACATCACTGATTAAAGATATCTTTCTAATTTCTTAAATAATGCTTGATTCACCTCCTTTGATTGATTTTCTAGGGTAGCCATGAGAATCAGGCTCAACAGGAAATCAAGTTGACAACTGCACCTAGTGAAGATTTAGGTACACATTGGGGCCAGCAGGTGAGTAGAATTGGTGATTCTGACTTTTTTCTTGCAATTGGTTATTTAGCGTGACAAACATTGTCAAGAGCTGATTCATCTTACAAGAAAATCCAATAATCTAGCCCCCTTATCTATAGTCGTTTATGTATAGCATGCTTTTCTTTGCTATTTCTTTTGCACCCACATTTTACATAAATAATCCATGCTTTTCTTAGTCTTTCGAAATTTTCAAAGTGCATGCTCTTTAGCCATTGTTTTTAAGGTTTCAATGTTTTATCTCTCTTTAATTATTGCAGGTTTTCCTTTTACATCCTCCTGTACGTGTTCATCAAGAGGATAACTTGATATTAAATTTTTCTATGACACGCGCAAAAGAGAATCATAGGTTGATGGAAGTAGACCTTACTTGCGAGATTAAACAGTCGTCTGGAACATTACTTCCCCCGTCTACAAACAAGTTTTACGTAGAATGAACCTACATCCAGACATTTTCACAGGTACAAACTTGTGCCAAACAAACTGAATTTTTTTTTTCTTAATTATGAAATACGTAGATCTAGTCTTCAAACAACGGAGACCTACTCGCGATAGCATCTCAAAAGATGCCGTGTTATAATACGCTGGTAGTTAACCAGATATATGCATGCGCTGACATGTCGTAATCTGGTTATGAATTTCTTTTCCGTTCTGACTTTTATATTTGGTGCTGTTGAACTGCATGTACTTGTTGTCTGAACAAATTTTTGTAGTATTGCAGTGCCTGCAAAAATGTGCAACTTTTCGAGTTTCCATGTGTGCTGCGTCGTCCCATGAGGATTTAATGGTGCAGGAAAAACTTTGAATTACTTGTACTAGTAATTTTGCAATGTGAATCTTACTGTTCAAGAAGAAGAACTGTTTGGAAAAAAACGTAATTGGGAACAACAGCTAATTTTGATATTCTTTCTGTTTTTACTTGTGCAAATAGATGCAAGTCTTCTACTATATTTTCGTCCCTCGCCCCCTCTGCGGCTTGTTTTTCTCGTTTTCCGTTCTTTTAATTGTTCACTCTTTGCTTCTATATTGGTTAACAATTTTGCTGTTAGGCAAAAGCAAAGGATTTTGAACACGCTGTGGGGTTGTCTAGTTGATGTGCAAAGGATTTTGAAAATTCATATTTGCTTATTGGAACTAGAGACAAAGATGATAGCACTTTTTTTGTAATATGCTTTATATTATCTGTCTTACATATTTTTGTAGTTAGTCAGTTGAATAATGATTGATATTTTAGACATAAACTTGTTTCTTAACATGCTCCCAAATGATTGCTCTAGAATTTCATGTCAATGATGTTAAACTCATCATTATGTAATTAGAGAACTATACAATATTCTAAATGCTATTGGACTTTTAGAACCCAACACAAAATGGAAAATTCCATATCAATGATGTGAAACTCATAATTATGTCATTGGTGATTTAAATCTTACTTGACTTTTAGATCCCAACACGAAATGTGTTAGAAACGTTTGAAACTTGGTAATTTTTGATGTTGATGGAAAAATATATTTATTTAACTATGACTTTTTAAGGATAATTGGTGTAAAATATTTCTATAGTTTACTTTTACTGTGCAAATAGTTCATATCTGTTCACTCGTGACATTTTGGCCCTATTGATTGTTCTTTGTCCAAATTATCCTTGTCGTTTCATTTCGTTGATTTGTTCCGTCAAATGATTGCATGCAGTGGTGTCAATGGGTTGGAACAAGCCGAGCTCTAGCTCGTTTGAGATGCTTGGCCCTTGAGCTCGCAAGCTCACGAGCTGAGTCGAGCCCACAAGCTCAAGTTTTTTTATTTTGTAAATCTTAATTCTTTTTTAAGTTACCATACGATGTTTGGTCACTTATTTGATTGCTCGGCTCGTCGTACGAGGCTTGGGCTCATTCTGAGACGAGCCTGAGCTGCCTATGGGTTGAACTTTAACGAGCCGATGAGTTATTCAGCACTTTTGTAACCTCTACAGTAATTTGATCAAGATACTAATTCACCATGTTTTCTTGAAAATTTGAGGTTTGACATGTTGAAGTAAATTTTGAGATTTGCAATTCAACACAAATCTCGAGTTTTGGGTGACATTTCAAAATTCTACAGGTGAGTTAGAAAGTCAAAGTCAAATTTCGAGTTTGCTATGAATATTTCTAGTTTTTTTTGGTTAAACCTCGAATTTTTTGGACAAATCTTGAATTTGCTATGTAAAAGTCGAGCATATTGGGTAAATCTCAAGTTTGCTATATAAAAGTCGATTATGTTGGCAAATTTCAAGTTTGCTATGGAAATCTCAAGTTTTCTAGATGAATTCAAGTTTATTATGCAAAAGTCGAGTATGCTAGGCAAATTTCGATTTTGTTCGAAAAATCTCAAATTTCCTATACAAAAGTCGATTGTACTCGCAAATCTCGAGTACCTAATTTCAAATGCGCACAATTTTTTTTAATCTACAACTTTAAATTGTATTTCATTTTTTTCGTTGATCTTTAAATTCAAATATTTTTTCAATGGTGTATCATTTGTCATTTGGAGATATTTTAACAAAAGTTGTGCACTAATTTCCTCGAATGCTTTGCAAGTAGGTCCCTCATTTTACAAATGATATACCATTGGATAGATAATTAAATTTAGAGTTCAACACAAAATTAGAGTGCAATTCAGAGTTGTGGATCAAAACTTATGTGTGTTTGAAATTATATAATCGAGCAAACTTATTATTTGCCATGCATAGTCCACTTTTGCATACTAAACTCTAGCTTTTCATAGAAAACTTTATTATTTGCCATGGCAAACTTGAGATATATCCAGTAAACTCGAAGTTTGTCCAACAAACTCAAGAGTTCTATCAGAACAAATTCGATGTCATCCAAAACTCGAGATTTGTGTTGTGTTGAGTTGCAAATTTTGAATTTTGCTTCAATGTGTCAAAATTCCAATTTTCAGAAGATGGTGGACAATTAGTGTCTTGGTCAAATTACTCTTGAGCAAATCAAACGTGATAATTTGATAGAGCAAATGGTCAGAATGAGACGAAAATGATGATTTGTGCAAAGAATGGTCGATCGAAGGGTCCAAATACCATAAAGTGAAATATGTATAACACTTGGCTTCGAACTCCCCGCCTCCCATGAACAAATCCAATGAATATAGGTTGGAATATGTATTTTAGAGAAATAGAGCACACGACTAAGAATCACGATGTTGAATATTATAACAATAACGAGAGAACGAGGAATTTGTGTCCAGTAAAAGTTGCCTACTAATAACACGACAATTTCACAAGCTGGGTAGCTCCAAACTTAATGAGAAGTTCCATCAAATGAAATGGGAAATTATAAAGATGATCTTTCTAACCCCACCCCCACCAACTAAACAGACTCGTATTTGAGCTAGACACGCATGTTTTCGCAAAACACAAAAACAAATGTGTGGTAAAGTTAACACATGATCAAGAAAGGTGGCTGTTCATGGGGTAAACTTTGGCCCCAAATGTTATCAAAAAGTGAGACATGCATGTTTTCAGTGTTTTTGAACTGAGACTAGTCAAATTAACTTGAAAAAATGTGGAAGTTTGGAATTACTGATGAGTCTCAACTAACGGTGATGTCTTTTTTCAATTGTATTAAGTTGAAATTATAATTGGCAATTTTTGAATTTGTAATTGACAATTTTTTTAGTCAAAATAAAGTCCCTATTGAATTATATTAGGAGTTCATCGAGTTATAATCAAAATCAAAAAATGAATTATAGAATCCTAATTAAAATCAAAAGAGTTGGGTTGGTAATATAGACCTTGAAGGAGTCCAAGAAGATCACATATGATCATTTGAATACATTTAAAAGTTGAAAGAATGTCAAAGAATCGCACAAGTTATGCTCCAAATTCTCAGTGGCAACTTGCGACGCATTTTTCACATAGAAATTATCGGATTTTGGACAAGGTTATTTGTAGAAGAATTGTAGTCAATTGAATTCGCTTTTCAACGTATTTGGATCACCTCAATCGGATATCGGAAGGAAAGTTATGCTAAGAATACTGACAAATCTAATATTACTGTCACTCAGATAGCCATCTCAATCGCTTAGATGCCGCTCGCGTGTTGCGGCCTGGAGATCGAGCGACATGGTTATCCAACGATCAATAATATTCGATTTTCAAACTTATTTTGAGTTCTTTTTCATCCCAAATACTATCCCTTATAAATATATACCCAATGAAACGTCCAAAAGTGTATTGAATCGGAGTTATTCCATAGATATCAATTCTTTGATGATCTAAAACATTCATCAATTCCAAAATTCAACCACCACATATTACTTGATCCATAAATTCTTCCAAAATATATTTTGTTGACTACGCCATATTGTTTCATATTAAACCACATATGAAAACATATAAATTCTTCCAAAATATATTTTGTTGATCAAGACATTGTTTTATATTAAACTACAAATCAAAACACACAAGATCGTTTGATCAACAACCAAATCACCTAATCCACCAAAGATGAATCGATACCAGAGATCGAGAGTTGTTGCAGAAGCACAAATTCAGGAGGACTACGATGAGGTACCAGAAGTGGGGATCTGGTGCCAGAGTAAGCAGTCCAGGAGAGTTAATGTATAAACTAAGAGTCGAAATTTGTTCTGAAGGAGCACACCTTCAGTGGGATCAAGAGAGATTGCTGGAATTGAGGTCAGAAGTTCTATGTGATAGACGGGTCTGGACCGTACTATAAGTTTGCTTCGATTTAAAGTGGATTATCGACTAACAAAGTGTCCAGTGTTTTTTACCCAATTAGAGTTTCTCTATGATCATTTTTGGTATTTTTTATTGCTTTAATTATTGATTGTAGTATTCAAATTTATGATAAATTGACAATAAACTAGATTGGTAGATCTTTTAATTAAAAAGTGACTTGTTACTTTTAATTGTGTAATTTCGCACGTTGGATCTAAATAAATCAGCTAATTTAAAACTTTCAAATTGGAAATTATTAATAGATTATTCCTTCCCCAGTAACTTGTGTCTAAGTTGGAAATCCAGCATTAGGTGACAAGTCGGAATAATTTCAACGATGACCCATCAACAAAATGTTGATTATACTATACGCATTATTATCGGGCTCAAAAAAGTCTCAACTTGATTGTTTCTTTTACGATTTTCTTATCTTTTCTCTAAATTACAATCGAGAAAAACTCAGTTAACACGTGATCAATTCATTCAACCCAATTGAACTGCCCGATTGAACGTATAATTAACTAGATATATATAGGTAGCTCTACATGTAACACCAAGTCCAATCAAATGAAACAATGAGACATGCATTATATAAGATGAGGATTCCATCCCACCAACTAAACCAATTCTTATTCATCCAAGACATAAATGCATGTTTTCTAAAACACAATGGGCAAACTCAATATTTCATCAAGAAAGGTGACTCGTCATAGGGTATATAAACTAGGCCCAATTGCTATGTCGACATTGAGACATACACATTTATATACATACACTTGCATGCAAAACTCTAAATTCTAACCGTTGAAATTGTTGTGTCAAAAAAACGTAGGACCCATGAAACACACTGTGCTCAAACATGTCATGGGACTGTCAAGACAAGATTAGGGGCAGTTGGTTTAGGGTTTGTACTCATTTGTTGGGTGAATGGGGGGGGGGGGGGGGGGGGGGGGTTGGGCACATTAATCCTTTTAATACCATGAAATTGACCTTTTATTTTAAATAGAGTTATTGACCCCGAGTTTAGTGCGCTTATTTAAATT